CTTGGACACAGTCCGTACCTTGGACACAGTCCGTACCTTGGAAATAGTCCGTACCTTGGAAATAGTCCGTACCTTGGACACAGTCCGTACCTTGGACACAGTCCGTACCTGGGACGCAGTCCGTACCTTGGAAATAGTCCGTACCTTGGAAATAGTCCGTACCTTGGACACAGTCCGTACCTTGGACCCTAAAAATATGAAACTCTTGTTTAAAACCAAACAAGGTCTAATAAACAAAATAAACCTACCTCGAAATACTTCCGAGGGCTCAATAAATAATAAACAACCTGTCCTTTCTTCCATGTGACATTCTGGAGGACAAAAAGAAAAGGGACGCCAACGTGCCAGCAAAACACAAATACAAGTTGGGACATCCGTAACTCTACCCTAAAAATATTCAATAATAATATCGAATCTATAAAAGGTAATAACTCATCTTTACCTGTAGCCTCGAAATAGCAGCTGATTCAAATTATACAGCAAGACTTAAATAATCACCATTTCCAAAAGCTGGGATACAACAGAGCGTCAAAACAAAGTGAGGTTAAGCACGGAGAGAGTTGACAGAAGCGACGTTGACAGCGCGCGCCTCCACAGAATAGTAACAGGGTTGTGTCGAACGATAACAGGGTTGGCGACTAGGGAACGTAAAAATTACGCGTCAAATAAACTATCCGGCCTGAACGAGAGGGAATCCGGTGATGATAGGCCAGACATCATATATCATATGTAAAAAAGACATGTAACGAACTAAAAACGTTACAATGCAGTTAACAGGAAAGGAAGCATTTTGAGCATTTGCTTTCATCTAGCTAATTTTTGTCACATAATTATAGGTTTATATCTAGTTTTAATTGTGTAATAATTAGAATATGTTTTAAACGTGTATCTTTTTATTACCGTTGAGTATTTTACTCTACAATCTTGAATTTTTGTTAAATTAACAAAAGGTATATCATACAAATTTTTTCAAATAATAAAGATCTACTAATGCAAAATCATAAAAATTAAAATATCTAGGAAAATCATTATCTGAGGGGTAGGCAACCTTAATAATATTTTAAAGATATATAAATTCCCCATTGAACACCGGAAAAATATACTGGGTGTTCCACTTAAAAAAATGTATATAAACTTGTACCAATTAACTTTTTACAGCTTTAAACACAAAATAGGAAAAAAGGATTTAAAAAGAATTATTAGGGGTATTAGTCGGGCTACCCGCAATAGCTATTAATTTCATTGGCAAGCTACGAAAAAAGGAATTGTCTTCAATGGCTCGTAGCGCTTTGCGAGCGAACAAAAACCTGACCCGACACGAGGCTCCAAAACGGCCGACCTCGTTTTTTAACCAAGACCCATTTTACAGTAATTAATCAAAGCGATGTCAGAAAGTTATTGGAATTAGAGTATTTGTATTGCAAATGAAATTTCGAGCTTTAATGAACTGGCAAATGAAATTTTAATGTATTTAATACAGAGGCTCAAATAATAAGGTTCCTCAATATTTAGAAAAAAAAACTGCATGTTGTAATAGATATTTACGATACAAGTGAGTTAACAGCATCATTAAAATACGCGTGAGTACACAAGTATCTTAATGGAGTTAACTGGCGTGTATTGTACCGGGTGTCCCACTAAGATTAGCTCTCGGCTGTATCTCGGAAAGTATTCGCCGTAGGGGCTGCGGAAAAAAATATTTATAACTAAAGAGACTATGAGAAATTGTTGGAAATTATTTTCAAGTTTCTAGAACGACCGCTAGGGGGCGCAACTGCAACAAAAAATAAGAAAATGGAGTTTTTACACAATTTTGCCTAGATAAGGTGAACTATAAGTAACAGCTTCATAATCTTCAGTAAATTTTGAATATTTTTTGTTAGAGCCATTTTCCTCTATCCACCAAAATAAAGTGGTGGGGGAAGGTTAGATCTGTTTTTATTTAAATATTAATAACTCTGGACTGGATGATCGGTATCCAACAAACGAGGGCTCGTTTAAAAGAGCGTTTCTTACTCTATATTATACTATATAAACAATAATAATAAGCTTTTGAACGTAGACGCTAGGGGGCGTTGTCTTACAATTTAACAAACACTGCGCGTTTTTTCAAAAAAATTATATGCAATAGTATATGTAATTATAGGTGATCGGAAAGAGTAGTAAAAGATTAAAAAGTCAGCGAAAACCGCATCTTGATATCTTCTTTCAAACCGAAGATATTAGCAAAATTATAATAAATACCAAAAAATAAGCCCTTAATTACCTTGTTTTTACAATACGGTATCAGTAGCCCTCTTGATTATGCCCATTCTAACAAAAAATAAGATAAAAACAGTTAGTTTATTTTAAAATCGACGAAATACCACAATACCATAATGCCAGAGGTATTAATATCTAATAATTAAGATATTAATAACAGTGGACAAGAAACGATGATCCAGTGAAGTCATGGTAGGCTTTGGAAAAAAGTTGCTTTTGACGTAATAGTCTAAACGTCAAATTGTTATTAGATCAACATTTTGATAGCCTTAGCAGCGTTTTTTAATGCTTTTATTATTTGAAGTAGTTGAAGTTGTTGGTATTTTAAAAAAGCAATCAAAAGATAAAAAACGCTGCAAAGACTATCAAAATGTTGATCTAATAACAATTTGATGTTTATACTATTACGTCAAAAGCAACATTTTTGCAAAGCCTACCATGACTTCACTGATTCATCGTTTCTCTTGTTCACTGTTATTAATATCTTAATTGTTAGATATTAATGTGACCCACTCTTAGTAAAATACAATACAAATAGATATTAATACATCTGGTATTATGGTATTCTAGTATTTCGTCGATTTTAAAATAAACTAACTGTTTCTATCTAATTTCTTTGTTAAAATGGGCATAATTAAGAGGGCTACTGATACCGTGTTGTAAAAATAGAACCACTCTATTAATGGGCGAGTATTAATAAATTTATTTTCTAACATGTCTTGAAAACCTTTCTCTACAAAACGTAAGTAACGTTCACTGGTTAACGTATCCTCGAAACTGTATGGCCAAGAAAAGTTGAACCAATAATCCTACACGCTTTTCTTCATTTGAAAAACTCTTATTTACAATTTTTGTTTATTTTAATTCACAAAGATTGAATATGACAATTTCATATTTTTGAGAGCAACGACGATTGAACTTGTTTCCATGGCTAACTAAGTGAAATTAGTCAAGAAAGATAAGAATTGGCTATAACTCAGTAATTTTGTGAAAAAAACATATTATAGCTTATATCGCTGAAAAGCTTAGAAAATGACGCTGTTTATGAAGTCATGGCCAACTATGGTTTCCATTTAAAAAAACATATGTTTGTGTCATATGTCAAAAATGACAGGCTTTAGAAAAAATCGGAGAACACAATCTCATTAGGGATGTGAATATCTACAACTTTTATCTGAAAACTTTTTGTCTAAAATAGATTATAATGGAATTAGGGACAATTTTTAAAATAGCCAAAATTTGTTTTTTTTCGAAATATCTAGTAAGCCATGAACTTTTTCAAAAATCTGAAAGGCGCTTATTTATGATCCCATAAAACTGCAATTCTTTCCCTATTTAATTGACTCTCTATCTCCAGTAGTTTCCGAGATACCCGTAGAACATCGTAGGAAACTCACCCTGTATACCTATCCTAAAAATCAAATCAATTACCTTAATACCTTTGTTCAAATAACACCATGCATGGCAATGTCAATATGACAGTAAGTAATATTGATGTCACTAGTTTAGAAAATGAGCGATTCGGAAAGTATTTCCTCTGACATTGAAGAAGAGGCATTCAGAGCCATTTCTGGATTGCTTCCAGTAAGGTCGAAACAGAAGTACGAATATACATACTCTATGAAAAATGGCGCACCGAAACAAAAATAACACAACTTTGGAAATGAAAAGGTACTCATAACATATTTTTCCAATTTATCCGCTACTTATAAGCCCTTTGGGCTTTCTATTCAATGATACGTACGATGATATCTATTAAAATGAATTCAAACTGTATCATTAACATTTATAATAAATAAGTTTTCATGTTTTTATAATTATTATTATCAATTGAACAGTTTATATAAATATTTTTTCTCTTTGGTAGTCGTCTAAACAAGGAATACGGTAATGAAAATGCGTGAGTTAAGAGCTTCTTAACTCACTGACGTAGATAAAGTATATTATCAATTACTAACTGGTTTAAGAACAATTATAATTCAGTAAGGGAATCCACCTACAAACCGCTGTGTATTGAGGGTTATCATTGTCACGTGCCCTAGAAGGGATTGCAGAGGTTTAGAGCAAATATCCTTGAGTCCGATAAACAAGAGTAGTTTGGAGAGTTACGGGTCAATTTGGGAATTAATGAGGATATTGTAAGTCGGTATGTCTAGCTCTCGTCTCTGATTTGATTTAAACAAAGAAAATTGAAGAACCTTTAATAAATATTAAGAATAATTGGCGAAAATATGAAGTTTTATGTTAGTATCACAAATTATATTTGGCAATAAGATTCCAAACAGCTTAAAAAAATTGAAAAAAATTAAAATAATTCAAAAAATACGTAGTTGTTCTATGTCCACAGAATAATGGAACTCCCCGTATATTTTGTCGGTCTGCTATGGAAATTAAATCCTCCAAAAAATGTTTAAAAATTATGCAAAATATGAAGCAGACTATACAGGTATAAAAGTATTATTATAAAAGGTGTGTCATAATTTGACAAATTATGTATGAGTTTACTGATTTTGCTGGTATATAAAATAAAAAGGAAGGAAGGTTAGACGTATACCGGTTATGTATGGAAAAATAGGCATATATTAAAACTTACAGAACCTAAGTTTAGAATGTCTTTTAAAAAAGGACATTAAAGAGATTTAGAAATTTTATCTACTTTTCAGATGCACAAAATAAATAAAAAAAGAAAAATAATTATCTCATTTCTGGTTTAGACACGTAAAACAAACAATACATACCGTTTAAAACGTGTACCGTCACGTTGGCTGGTCTAGCGTTAGAAGGGTTGCACTGGTAGTTACCGGAATCGGATGGGCGTGCTTTCTGAATTAGAAGAACGCTTCTGCTGGTTTCGCCTCTCTCTGTAGCTACGCTGACTCCACCTCTTGAGCTTGAATAACTGATTATCTAAAAAATGCGTAAAACGAATGTCATTATAAAAGAATAATAAAAATTTTTGCTAAACTAAAAAAAAACACAGAAAGTTTAAAATAAATTGCATGTTTATCTGAGATTGGTTAGTTTCAGATAACATTTATTCAGTCGGAGTTAGAAATAAATTAAGCAATTCAAGGTTTCTGTAAAAAATTGTTTTAAATTTATACTGGATTGTTTTTACAAGAGGAAAATCTTTTTTGTTACTGACATTTTGAGAAAAATGCATTCTTCATAAAAAAATTGCTTGTACTAAAATTATTAATCACGTTTACACTTTTCAAAATGTCTATACCGTTTTAGAGAAAATAATATGGTTGAATTTTCTAATCCTAAAGATCAAAAAAATTCTAAAAATCAAAAGATGCTTCTATGGTAAAATAAATTCGATTTCAATCTTTGATAGATGGTTATTATTAATTTTGAATGTTTGTTAAAGTGTCACATGTTCCGATAACTATTATCACTCTTTCCGTAGCATTAAACTAAATAAATTTTGTGCTTCTTTAACATCTTAAATCAACAAAAAATATGATATTAATTAAAATTCTATCAATAACAATCTATCAAAGAACGAAAACGAAATTTTATTACCATAGAAACGCGTTTATAGAACTTTTAGGAAAAAATTCAACCATATTTTCATGTTTATTTTTTTGTTCTTTAAAACGGTGTGGAAGTTTGAACGGAATTAACCATTTTCGAACAAACAAAATTTTTTATGAAGAATGCGTTTTCTCAAAATTTCAATAATAAAAAAAGTTTTCCTTTTATTTTATAATAACGTTTAAAAAATAGTAGGAAAAAATATATACACCATAATATTATTGTGGTAAATATTTATTGCCAGTTTTACGAAGAAGGAATATAAGTAACAAATATATTTACGAGAAAGTTCTATATTCTCGCTAAGCCCCAACCTATTACTTAATGACAAATGTTCGAAGGCAATTTGCAAATTACCATTTCGTTCCTCCCTTCCAAAAACGCCACTTTGAATGTTTTGCATTTTAAATTCGTTACAGTTCAACCGCGAACGATACATAAGTGTACGTATGAGAGAGTGTTTGTGCGTTTGCACGTGTGTTACGGAGCAATGCCGCCTTAAAGACAAAAGGCTTCACTGACGTCATTTTATTAGATTTCTTTCTAGAACTAAACTAAATCCTAAAACTACCGAGCTTATACAGGGTGTTTCAAAACAAATGCGAAAAACTTTAGGGGGTGATTCCTTATTCAAAATAAAGGGTAGTTTGCTTTATAAACGTTGGGTTAGGGAGATATCGCGGTACAAAGATGGCGGAAAAATAATGTTTTTATTTTTTAACTTGAAAACGAAAAGAGATAGACTAATGAAATTTTATGGAAGCATTACTGTTATGAAAATACACTTTCAGGTAATTTTTTTACTTTTTTAAAATGAGTGGAAGGGGTTGAAATAAACTACTCCTATCATTCTTGTTAACGAAATTTAAAGAAAAATCTTATCAAACACATGCAAAAAAATTAATTTGGATAGTTTAGTTTGTTTAGAAACTTTTTTATCTCTTGTATTTTTTTGATAAAACTCACCGATTTGAAATTAAAAAATTAAATGTAAAGCATTATATGTCAGGACAAAAAACATTTTTAGATTAAGAATCTAGTGATAATAACGATAATAATAATCATCTAGATAATAACGTATTGCAGTAGAGTAATGTCAAATAAAATAATATTAGGAACATCCTAAAAAGTAACAGCGGCCGACTAGATTTTTTCCTAAAAAAATTACAGCAGCCCACTAGATTCTTTATCAGAAAATGTTTTTTGTCCTGACATGTAATGCTTTACATTTTATTTTTTAATTTCAAATCGGTGAGTTTTATCAAGAAAATACAAGAGATAAAAAAGTTTCTAAACAAACTAAACTATCCAAATTAATTTTTTTGCATGTGTTTGATAAGATTTTTCTTTAAATTTCGTTAACAAGAATGATAGGGGTAGTTTATTTCAACCCCTTCCACTCATTTTAAAAAAGTAAAAAATTACCAGAAAGTGTGTTTTCATAACAGTAATGCTTCCATAAAATTTTATTAGTCTATCTCTTTTCGTTTTCAAGATAAAAAATAAAAACATTATTTTTCCGCCATCTTTGTTCCGCAATATCTCCCTAATGGTTGACTTTTGACCCAACGTTTATGAAGCAAACTACCCTTTATTTTGAACAAGAAATCACCCCCTGAAGTTTTTCGCATTTGTTTTGAAACACCCTGTATACTAGAGCGGCTTAACCATGAGGTCAAATGGTCAATGCTCCCCCCAAAAAATCAGGAGGAAATTAGAAAAACTTATTTAAATTATACATTTTGAAAATCACTTTTTTTTATCCTAAAATATTCAAAACTATTCCCAATCCGTCCAATTTTCGCTTGAAAACATTTTATTTTACCCACTTTCTCTACTGCCGGTCAAAATTTAATTTTGTCCTTCGTTCCCGCTATGTTTGACACGCATTAAACTCCAAGTGCCGTGGCTCGTGACGTCAACAGGGTAAGGTATGTATAGAAAATATAATGGGTTAAGGTGCGATAGATATAGTTTATATTGGCCATTGACCGCGTCATTCATTAAAGGATTTGTAAGGTAGGCAACTTTATATACACTTGTATTTGGTAGTTTACTGACAGACGATATAAAAAGTGGCTGTTTTTGTCTTTGTCTAGAAACCAGCGTGTTATTATTAGTAGTGGGAACTATCGAATGAATACTATCGAAACATTCGATAGTTGCAATTCATTCGAATAATTCGATAGTTAGTAAGAAAACATTCGTTGAAAACTATTCGAATAAAAAATATCGAATAGATCCGTCATCTGCCTTGAAATATTGTATTCTAGTAATTCGGCAGCAAAAACCAATCATTTATAAAATTCATTCATTTATGAAATTCATTTATTCGTCAGGATCGATTATAATAAAATATTAACTGAATTTTAGTTGTCGCCCGGCGACGTAGGTTTCTTTCCGAGAAACCCGACAGCGGTCGGTAGCAATGCTATGAAAGAAGCCGGCATCTTTAATTTTTTGCGGAGTCAGATATAGATAAGGACACATTTTTTTTATTGAGGTGCTAGTATTTACACAAAAAATACATTATGAAGGGCGCTGTTGCCATATTTTGGTATTAGTTGATATTAGCAAAGAATATTATTGTTTGGCTTTAGTTAGTTAGGGATAGTATGTCTATATATTCTGCATTTTTTTTTTATTAATATTCTATTGTTACACTGCAATAATACTTGTTATTTTGGATGTAGGAAAATAAGTTTTAATGTTTTTAAGCAAAGACTGGTTTAATAAATAATAATAACAGTAATAATTTGTTATACCTATTAACAATAAAATTTAAAATCATTTAATATAAATATTTTTTTAAGTAGTAGCAAAATATAAACAACAAATTAGATGTCAAAATTATTTATATTAGATCCTATTTAAAAATAATATAGTCTCTAAATTTTTTGTGTGTGGCAACGTTGGTTTATTAAATAATAATAATTACAGAACTAATTTGTTATATTAACAACAAATTTTAAAATCATGAAATATAAACATTTATTAATTTTCTAAGCATGCAGTGTAATGGATGAAAAATATAAATAAAAAATTAGAAATCAAAATTATTTATATTAGGTGCTTTATATTACTATTTAAAAATTATATTTACTTTTACTGGCATTTACTTTAAAAAATAAATGAAATATTTCTTCGCAAAAAACTACATGTAAGAGAATTAGCATAAACAAAATAAAAACATCGTTAACTTTTTTTTAATTGGCACGTGTAAAACTCATTTTAATTTTCTCACCCCATAGTTTGAGTTCGATAACCATTTACTTAACCACATTACTTAAATATGATTATTAAGTTCAACTAATTCATATTATTAAAACATCTAAAATACATATATGTATTTTTAAAATTAATTGTAAGTTCATCTCATCTCTCTTAAAAATTGCTACTTCTCAAAATTTCCCATTAAAAAATAGACCATATACCATATAAAATTAAATAATTGAAAGATCGGACTACGGAAAACCACACAAATTTTCGGAAAAATTTTGACCACCTGCACATGCACACAATCGTCAATAAATAAAAATAACTACTATTTTAATAAACGCAAAAATAGCACAGTATTTATACGGCGAAGTTATAAAAATTTGGAAGAACTAATAATGCACTGACGCATACAAAAATCAGACGAATACTAAATTTCATTTGTCAAAAGCATTCGATAGTCGTGGCTCAACGATAACTATTTAGTCGCACAGCGAGGTTGTCACATATGCTTTAGTATACAAATGAATGAATGATTTTATTCGAATAAAATCATTCGATAGTTGAAATCATTCATTCATTAACCATTCGATAGTCTAATTCATTCGATAGTTCCCATCGCTAGTTATTATTGTAATTTGTAATACTGTTTATTAGTTGAGAATCAACATAGTTGATTAAGAAATATCGAATGCATTATTTCTATATAAATATATTACAGGATTTCAGTCATATCGCTGGAAAAAATTTTGCCGTTTGGGCAGTGCCATGCCCTTTCTAATTTGAAGTTCAATAAAACACAAGTTTACTTAATTAGGATGAGTTGCATAGAGGCCACTAGCTTTTTAATTTTAACAGCCGGGTGGTTGGGGTTCAAAGATATTAATAAAAGGTCGCCACGAGATTATACTCTATGAACGCGGCATAAAAGATGTTACTATTAAGTAGACTTCAACACTAACCTTGAACTGTTGCGTGTAACTACCATGAACTTCAAATATACTATAATTACTTGAACTTAAGTGACTCTAACTTAACTATGAGACTAGACTGTAAATAATACTACTAAAAATATTTAAGCAATTTATTAAAATATTAAAAAGTTAAATATATATAAAAAAAAACGAATGAAATGTAAAATGTAATACGTT